CGAGCATAATATGTCATTCTTTAATTGTTTGAAGGCTGCGACTTCAGTTTCAGAAAGTGGAAATTGTTTAACTTGGATAAGCGGATTTATTTTTTCTGAAAATTTGTGTATAAAATTGGAATAATGAGCAAACATACCTTGAACTCGTTTAAGAGCGGCTGCATTCGTTGGCAATGGCAATTGGATAAGAGGTTGAAGTCGATCAGAATCTGGTTTTATTGTTTTTCTTTCGATAGTATAGCCAAGAATATTTATTGTAGTCATACCAAATTTGCACTTTTCTTTATTAAGGGTTAAATTGTATTTGTCAGCAACATATAAAAATCTTTGAAGATTTCTTTCGTGATGCTCCTTAGTTTTACCACAGATAGTTACATCATCAAGATAAGCAAATGTATCCTCCAATCTTTCATTTTCAATAATAATATTTATGTTTCTTTGGAAACAAGCAACACCATTAGTCACACCAAACGGTATTCTAGTGAACTGATACAAGTTCCCGCATGCTTCAAATGCAGTATAGATTCGTTCGTGTTCTAAGATTGGTATTTGATGATAAGCACTGCGAAGATCTACAGAGCTAAAATATTCATATTGTGAGATTTTATTTACCATATGTTTCATACGTGGCAGAGGATAAGCGTCTAAGAGTGTAAATCTGTTGACTGTTTGTGAATAGTCTATAACCATTCGTTTCTTATGATATTCGTTATGAGTTATAACCATGGTGAATTACTTGGTTCAATTATTTCTTCTTTTAAAAGACGTTGTACTTCATCTTCAATAAATTTCGAATCAGCTGGAGAATATCTTCTAGATTTTATAGCAATTGGTTTGCAATCGGATGTTAAATGTGCAAATAATGGATACGGTTCTACATTTGCTATAGCTAAATTGCATACGGAAATGGGTAACCTGTTTCCCCCAAACAAAATTTCAACGCCTGAGTGTTGTCTAAGAATATCGTGACCTATAATTACATCGGCACAAAGTTCTTCCAAAATAAATAGTCGGATACTTTTATAAATAAACTTCAATATTTTCAGTTGCACAACACAGAATCCACGAATAGTGGAACTCAAAGATGATGATGCCATTGTTACATTTACATTAGTTGAAAAAACTTTGATATTTTTTTCAGTTACAAACTTACTGGAAATATAACTATCTGAACTTCCGGTATCTATCAGTGCTTCAGCAACATGTTCATTAACTTCTATTTTTAATAATGCTTTTGATAAACAGCTAACTGAGGAGGCAGATATAGTTCCAAGTATAGCAGCAGAAGTTTTATTAATAAAACTTGATTGTTTTTGATTTCTAGACTTGCATACTTGTGTAAAATGACCCTTTTTACCACAGGAATAACAGAAGGAGTTTCTTGCTGGGCATTTTTCTCGAGGATGTTTATTTTTACCACAGAAATAGCATTTAGAAACTGTAATAGCAATAGTAGAATCATCTTCAAAATGGGTTTGTTTTCAGAATTATTACTTGACTGTGTAGCATTTGCATAAGAATTGTAGGGAGTAAGGTAAGACTCTGAATGGTGTTGGGCCATTTCTAAAGACCTAGCAGAATCGAATGCTTGTTCTAAATTTAAGGAAGTATGTTCAAGAAGTCGCTGTCTGATATGCGAAGAAATGAGACCTGCTATAAAAGAATCTCTGATAAAATCGTCTCTATTTTGTTCTGCGGTTACGGATTTAAAATTACAATCTTTGCTCATTTGCCTAAGAATTTGTAAATATTGATCAATAGATTCACCTACTTGTTGTTTTCTTGTAGATAAGGAATGTCTTGCAAATATTTCATTTTGTGGTTTGACACATAGATTTATTATAATGGTAATAGCATCATCATATGACGTATATTCATTAATGTGTTCAAATATTGCAGGAGTTACATAATTTATCAGTAAGTTCAGTTTGTCTTCATTAGATTCAACTTTAGCAGCTTTTAGGAAGTTAATAAAAGTTCGATACCAGTGAGTCCAACGATGACCAGAATTGCTGGAGGTAAAATCGATATCTAAGCGTTCGGGCTTCAAGAGTTTATCCATTTTATTCAGCTTATTAAATTGTAATAAAGAAAACCTCAAAATTATAGGCTTTAATAAGCTGAAAATGCAACCATATAACTGACAATAGTAATGACAATTATATAACTAAAATAACATCACAGTGTCGTAGTGGACAGTACAAAAGTGTAGATAATATTTATATAACAACAGCTTTACCAATTTTAGAACGATGAATCCCATATACAACAAAAAAAGTCCTAAATTGGGTTGCTTTCCAATAGCCAATATCTGTAATCTTTTCTGGTCTGTGATTAAAATCATTTGGTAGATTAAATAATCTGATATGGATTGAACTACTCTATTCCCTAAACGCACTTCATAATTGTTACCGCTTGTCAATGTTATTAGTATTCTTTTCATCACTCCCAAACACATACAATGCATATAATGATTGGAAATATTTTAATAAAATCTATTTAAGGTAGACAGTGGAGTAACCCCTGTATGATGTTATTCATCTTTTTGTTGAAGAAACTACTGATTAGTACGTTTTGTGGATTAAATACTATCAAAAATAACTTTGTGGTTAATATAATTTCCAACAACAGAACATTTATCACATGATCAATAACCAGAATGTGATTTTATGAATTTAATGAAAGCTTTAGCAGGAGCATCACACACAAAACTATGAATTTTAATTGTATATAATTTGTCTTTAAAACGTAATCCTTTATTTGATAAATATGTAAGTTCAGTTCATTGACAAAGTCCTCAAAGTATAAAGGAGCTGTTATAATGTTGATCAAATTGTCAACTTCATTAATAAAGTAAAACAGACAATACTGGTAATAATTTTATTAACCAAGTAAACTTTATTATAAACACTGTTACACAAAATGGCTGCTTACTAAACGACAAAACGAATTCTACTTCTAACAAACAAACACTGGGGGGGGGGGGGGACTTGCTCGCTATCCTTTATATTGTCCTCAACTAATGTAACTGATTTACCTACCTCCTCGGTTTGGGGAGTTGGACTTGTAACTTGATCCAAACTATTTAAAATATTATTTTTATTATTGTCTATTGTGTGTAGACCAATTTTATTTTTAAGAGCCTGTACCTTTCTGTTACCTGTTGATATGACTTCTTGACACTTGAAGGTATTAATTTTTTGTTGGTTATTTCCTTTCTCCTCTAGTCTTGTTCTTATTTGGTTTATGTCTTTTCCATTCCTTACCGTTCTCTATCTGACATAAATAGACACTTCTGTCCAGTTTTTGTTTTACTATGGCCTTTGTTCATTTTTTATTATTTCTCTATAGTATCTCACCCACACTGTCTCACCTTCTAGTAATTCTCTCACTCTTCCCCTTGCAGACCCCTGCTCTTCATGTGTTTCTATGTGGCTCTTCCTCCATTTTAGCCTTGTTTCTTTTATCAGATCTAATCTGGTTTTTAAATTCCTTCCAAATATCAAGTATGCTGGTGTACTTTTAGTAGTATTATGTTCTGCATTCCTGTAATGTAATAAAAATCTTGAAATGAGGACCTCTAGTTTAACCTCCTTTGTCTTTGGTTCTTCTAGTGCTGCTTAAAGTTTGTATTTGAATGTTTGTACATTCCTTTCTGCTCCCCATTTGATGGTGGGTGGTGGTGGTGCGGTGATATGACATATACCATTTTTCTTGAAGAAACCTTCCAGTTGTTCTGACACGAAAGCTCTACCATTATCTGATACTACTGTATCCGGCAAACCGAAATCTGCAAAAAGCTTCCTTAGTTTTATTTCTGTCTCCATAGTTGTTACAGAGCTTACTATAAAAACATCTAACCATTTCGAATATGCATCTATTGCCAGCAGAATTTTTTTATTGCGTATTGGCCTAAAAAATCTATATGGATCCTGGCCCATGGTCTTGTAGCTACAGGCCACGATGTCAGATTATTTTTGGAGGGTGTGGTAGCGTTTTCAACATCCTATACATAATTTTCCTCCTGATCCAAGTGAGGCCACCACAGATATATGATCTAGCTTTTGTTTTGGTTTTTACTATACCCATGAAGTTCTTCTAGCATGATTTTCTTCTCTTCTGTTGAAATATGGTATTATTTCCTCCTTCATGTCTTTTTTCTGGCCATTTATTATTAGTAATAATCAATTATTTTTTTTTAAATGTTAAATTTTTCTGTTTCTTGTTTTATCATATCATTATCTACAGGCTAATCCAAGCATTTTTCTATAAAATTTACATACATCTTTGTTTAACAAAGTTACTGTTTTTAGCGGTATTCTAGATAAGCAATCGGCAAAATAGAATAGTAAAAAACGCTTTACCTTATAGGTTATCTATTTGATCTTGGATCAGAGGTAAAGGAAATCGTTCTTTAATATTTATTTTCTTTAGGGCCCTAGAATCACAGCATATGCGCGAGGTGCCGTCATTTTTGTGAACAATAGGGGTTACATACGAGGAGTGGCTTTCCCTTATATTATTTTTTAATAAATCCTTAACTATTAATTTTACTTTAATTTTACTTTTGTGCAAAAATTATGGTCCAAATCAACGCAGAAATAATTTATACGAGCAGTGGAAGGTTTCTCACCCTGTTCTTGAAAACAATATATGGCATAAGGTCCACGTGTTTTACAGTAAGCACATAGCGCTAGTTTTATTTTCGACGCGAGCATTCCCGTGATTAAGTTTTTTTTTTTTTGACACAATTTCGACTAAAATGACCGGGTTTATTGCATGCATAACAAAGTTGTTGACCGATATTTGCTTTGTCGGTAGCACCGAATGGATAACTTCTTTTTAATTGATTTTTTCGGTATTATGGGCCACAAGTTTTACACGGTCATATTGTAATTAATTAACAGACTTAATAAATCAGCTGATTTGACATGAATGTCATTTATATCTCCAATAACAATTTCCAAAATTTGGCCCATAGTTCGGTTATAGGTTAACATTTAATGCATTAATAAGATAAATCTTTTTTCTGGAATACTCACAATAGGAATCAGCCTCCTTGCTTGTATACAGGGCGGCCTTGCGTAGCTTTGGCTTACGTTGCGCTTTGCAGGATACAGACTTGATATTTCGGTTCGAAATTCGTCCCACGTATTTTGAACTGGCTTCCATCCAGAAAACCAGTCTTTCGCTTCTTCAACCAAGCTGCTAGCACCTCTCACCAATAACTTGTAGCTAGACCATGTAAAAGTCTCGCCAAGTTTCTCCAGTTCATCGCACCATCTTGATGCGCCATCATCGTCTTGTAACAGGTCAAAAACTGGAACACTCACTGCCGTCGATACCACAGGTTTCACCGCGTTATCTCTTAACGATTTTAATGAGTCTGTTAAGAGTTTCGCAAATTCTTCCATCATAAAAACTTTTTATTTTCACGCTCGGTTAAAAACTTTATTTTCACACTCGGTAAAAAACTTTTTATTTTCACGCTCGGTAATACACTAACACACAAAAACTGTCTGATGGCCACGTACGCTGGTGTGGTACCCTAGTTGATCCTACTTCTGAAGTAAGAAAACATGATATCTTTTTTAAAATAATCTATTTTCTAAATTCAATACAAAACGAGCAAAAGTGACCTGGTGTTCCAACAAACGAACTAAAAGTGTACTCTTATTTTTTAGACCACTTGCCCTAGAAAACTAATACATACATCCTAACTTAACAAATACAACTTTAAGGCTAATAATTAACACATTTTATGTCTTCACCATCGCCTTGTTGTCAAGTAGTTGCCTGATAATTTCCAGATGTTGCAACCATGTATCAACGATTCAACGCCATCCTATTGTAATTCTTACATGCAAATAGTAAATTGTTTGCGAGTAATATTTCTGATACCATTATCTTAGTCAGGAGCGCTATGCGAAAGAAGTTACCTCATGAAACAATTGACTCACTTTAATACCCTCTACTACCCTAAGAGAGTGCCATCATATGTCTACAACGGCACCCTGTAATTATGTTTACCGAAACCATAAAAGCTGTAGTGATATTTCATTGCAAGTTAAATTAGATTAATGAAGCTGTAACGCAAAAATAAACTTTCTCTATTTATATGTAAAAGTCATCCACAACTGTTTACGAATTTATTAGCGCAGGCATTAAAAGCAAGCACTTGGACAAGTGAAATAATAAACTGCTATTATTATTTATTTTATTTTTTACAATTCAAAAACTAAAATCATTTGCGAACTGTGAGCATATTATAGTAAGTTTTATAAGTTTTATTTAACATGGGCCATTACTCCGCTGCGACTATAAATTCTTCTTGGTTATTCGGTTCTGTGCATGGTGTACCAGTGCGAGCTTTCCGCCCCACCCTCTCTCTGTCCTTTGCGCCTGCCAAAAATAGTGAAACTGTCTTTATTTATTTTTCTGTTGCATCTTTAAACCGTCGACGCACTGTCCCTTTAAAAAATATCTAAATTTGAAATTATTCTACCGAAATACGGAGAACCACTAACTTTGGTGATTTTTGATTTCGAAAATGCTCTGTCGATTTAAAATACTTTCAACAATACACTGTTGTCGCATCTATAAAAAAGTAGCAGCAACTTCGTTTTTTGAGAAATCCTGTATATTTATGCATTTTTTAATCCTCTAAAGGGTTCTAAGCAAATTTTATACTATACTCTTTTTAACAACCATTTTCGAGATATTGACTTGAAAATTCTCTTCTCCAGGCCCTATTAATAACCCAGACTTCATTTGTACAATACTTATTAGATCAGTTGTTTTCTCTACCAATTTAGCAGATATTGTATGTAGATTAGGATTGTTGTTATTGATCAGTTCATTTATGCACATATCTTTATATATGTGAAACATCTATTCAGTAGGATCAGGAACAGTGTTGCCAGTCTAGTACAATTGTACTAGATCTAGTACATTCTCTGAGAATCTGGTACTCTAGTACACTCGAAACATATTCTAGTACTTTTTTCAGCGTATGTTTCCATTTGAAGTGTAAAATATATTGGTCAAAAATTGCAAGAGAAATTAAAATAGTTCTTAAAAATTACTTCAGAGATAAAATAGTAGACACTTCTCGAGAGATAAAACATTGTTTAAAAATTGCACGAGGGATCAAATATTGTTCAAAAATGGCTCGAGAGGTGTTAAAAATTGGCCGAAGTATAAAATAGTATTAGAAATTGCTTGAGGGGTAAAATATTGTTCAAAAATTGCTCTAGGGATAAAAATACTGTTAGAATTTTAATGAGAGATAAAAATATTTAATAATTTTTCAAGAGATTAAATAGTATTATAAATTGTTAAAATCGTGTTCAAAAATTGCTCGAGGTAAAATAGTATTACAAAATGTTAAACCCTTGTTCAAAAATTGCTCGAGGGATAAAATACTTAGAAAAATTTGTTGAGAAATAAAATATTGTTCAAAATTGATTCAAGAGATACCTACTATTAGAAATTTCTCGAGAGATAAAATACTATTAGAAAATGCGCGAGAGATAAAATATTGTACAAACATTGCTCGAGATATAAAACATTGTTAAAAATTTATCGGGAGTTAAAATGTTTTTATAAATTTGTCGAGAGTTAAAATATTGTGCAGTTTGCTAAAGATATAAAAAAAGTTGTTAAAAATTGATCGAGAGATAGAATAATGTTATAAATTTATCGAAAGATAAAATATTGTTTAAATATAGCTCAAGAGATAAAAAAAGGTTTAAAAAGTGTTCGAGAGATAAAATAGTATCATAAGTTATTAAAATCTTATTCAAAAATTACTCGAGAATTAAAAAATACTGTTAAACATTTCTCGAGAGATAAAACATTGTTTAAAAATTGTTAGAAAGATATAAAAAATGTTAATAAAAATTGCTCGAGAGATAAAATAGTGTTAGAAATTATTAAAATTTTGCTCAAAAATTGAACGAGAGATCAAATATTGTTCAAAAATAGCTTGAAAGGTAAAAGAGCTGTTAAAAATTGCTCAAGTGATTAAATAGTGTTAAAACTTTTACAAAAAATTTTGTGCAAACATTATTCGAGAGATAAAAAAAAGTTGTTAAAAATTGCTCGAGAGAGAATACTGTTGGAAATTTATCGAGAGATAAAATATTAAAAATAGCTCAAGAGATAAAAAAAGGTTTTTTAAAAACTGTTCCAGAGAAAATATTAAAAGGTATTAAAATCGTTTTTAAAAATTGCTCGGGAGATGAAATAGTGTTAGAAATTGTTAAAATTTTGCTCAAAAATTGCACGAGAATTCAAATATTGTTCAAAAATAGCTTGAAAGATAAAAAACTGTTAAAAATTGCTTGAGTGATTAAATAGTGTTAAATATTTTGTACAAACATTGCTCGAGGGATAAAAAAAAGTTGTTAAAAATTGCTCGAGAGATAGAATACTGTTAGAAATGTATCGAGAGATAAAGTATTGTTTCAAAATAGCTCAAGAGATAAAAAAAAATTAAAAACTGTTCGAGAGATAAAAGAGTATCAAAAGGTATTAAAATCTTATTCAAAAACTGCTGGAGAGATAAAATAGTGTCAGAAATTTGTCGAGAGATAAAATATTGTTTTAAAATTGTTGTGTTCGTGTTCTCTATAAACCTTTTTTTGCTCTTTAATGACCAAACTTCATAATTAGAAAAATCTGGTAATTTTATAGAATCTAGTACATTTTTATGAAATCTGGTACATTATTTAGATAAATCTGGTACATTATAAAAATATATTCTGGCAATACTGATCAGGAACATAAAATGTATCACTATCAAAATTCTTAGCAACAATATTTGGAGTTACAATATGTAAATAAGAGCTTTTATTTCTCCAGGGTACAGAGCCTACAGACAATATTTCCCCTATACCATTTATAGATAACCTAGACAATACCATGATTCCTACTATGGCATGAGGATCTCTATATATTGCTATTGGCACAAAAGACCCTGATTGAAATGGCTACTGTAGGGTGAAAAAGGTATAAGTCGAAAATATAAAATTTTCAGGGCAAGCTGTTGTAACTTTGGCCATTTCTACGCGTCAGTTGGTAATGGTTAGGTATCTCTTTTTCGACTGGTTAGTGTAATGTATCATGGAAAATCAAACTCACATGGAATAAAACAGCATAGTTATATTTTTACTTTAATTCTACTGACTTGTATAGCTACGTTCTACCAGCATGTAGTTGATAGTAAGGATATAAGTCAACTTATATCCTTTTCACCCAACTAACATGTTACACATGATAGATATCTTCTTTGAACTACGTATGAGTATAAAAATTAGAAAATTAAGACCTCGAGCAAATAAAACAGCTATACACACTGCCGGAAGGTAATTTAATTTCGTTTTCTTATATAAAAAAATATTATTTATTTTTTTAAATTTAAAATCTTCGTCTCACTCCTTCATTCTCTTCTTCAATGGATAGATCTGGATCTTCCTCTTCTTCCGAACCAATCACATTTAGATTTCTGTAGAAGTCATGAAACTGTGGATGGATGAACGGTAACAGGTCCATAATATCAGACTTTTTCCGCACTAATAGGTTGGGGACCATTGTACAGTTTTCTAAGCTGGTTGATTAGAGACCTGTTCTTGCCACGACGTCCAAAATTCACTCTCTGAAATTGTGAATCTTCATATAGTGACTTTTTGAATAAAATAATACCAAATGTTTCATCAGAACTGTACCGAAACCACTTAACTTCAGACCACATCATTTTTTTTCCGCTTTCGGTTTGCTTCTTTCCAATCAATGGTCCTTTGAGAAGCTTTGCAAAATCAATGAATTTATCTACCATCTATACAACTTTAAAAGGTTTTTTTTGCACATCCTCTGACCAACTGAAACCAATCGTATGGGTGGCTGATATCGATATTCGATCTTTTCTTCTGCCTCTCGATGATGGAATGATCTGTGTCACATTCCATATGAGTATGTCCACAAAGTAAAAATTTATGATCAATGGTTTTAATATGTGAGCATGCTTGTAATGCAGTAATGAGCATTGCACCCATATGGGTATTACGATTCTGGCCCCCAAACGTATCTGAATACATAACAACGTATTTAATTTATTCTGGTAAACTCTTAAGATGTTGAAACAAACATGATGCAATATTGTTTGCACCACGACCTCCCTCTGCTTCATGCCACATGTAGCATGTTAGCTTGATCATCTGATCCAGCGTGGACCGTTAGATTGAATGTCCAAAGCTGCCTCTTGTATAAAGCCAGCCCTGTTTCCAAATAAGGAGTAGGCAGACATTGCTGCAAGTCGAAGGTCAGCATTTCGAATTCGGGATCTTCTCTGGACCTTTTCTTGTCTGCTGCTTTCGTGGTATAGGCTAATTCAGCTTGAGCTTGGTGTGTTTCTAAA